GGTAATATGATACTTTCAGCATACAAGGATTTCTAAAACAGGAAGTTCAGTAATTGTCTTTTGGGTATTGTAGAAAATAAAATAAAATAAAATAAAATAAAATAAAATAAAATAAAATAAAATAAAATAAAATAAAATAAAATAAAATAAAATAAAATAAAATAAGGATGTGATAAAAAGGTAATATGGAATATGAGAATCCTGTAAGATCTTATATACACTCATTTGCTCTATGAAATAAATCCTTTTTAGCTTGACATTTAAAATAAACATATTACTCCATTACCTTCTGATACGCATGGTACTGAAATACTCTGGATGTAAGCCTACAGTTCATAGAAGTTAATGGTGTCTGTAGCACAGAGCAAAGCAAATTCCCTTGAAAAGACAACATTTACGTAGCCAATCATGATTGTAATTGTAACAAGAAAATTCATCATCCTAAATGCTACAGTGAAATTCGTTCTTATTCACAAGACCAGAAGTCCTAATACATTTATTATGAACAGCAATGTAGTGCCTGATTGTTGCACACTTGTATGGACACATTAAAAATTCATAACTCAAAGAAGCTGCTTGTAGCAGTTTGAAGTGCTGAGGACTAGAAACCTGAGTAAATAAAAAACTCAAACAAAATAAACAAACAAATAAAAAATATTGTTCCAGCTCAAAAGCTTAAAGAAAAGGTTATAATGAGTCATTTCACTGATTTCAAACCAACTCTTATCCCAAAGGATAAGACTGACACATTCAGAGTCACATATACGACTGGTTAATTGTTCAGAAAACAAGTGTATTACAAATTGGCTAATAATTTTTGTCACAGAATTTAACTTGAAAGCAATGAGACCATTTTTCTTCAAAAGCAAAGAGACCATTTCATCACTCTGAAGAGAAATGAAAAAAAAAAATAATAAAATAAAATAAAAATAAAATAAAATAAAATAAAATAAAATAAAATAAAATAAAATAATAAAATAAAATAAATAAAACAAAACAAAACAACAAAACCAAACAATACAAAATAAAACAAAACAAGTAAAATAAAATAAAATAAAAGCAGGTGAGCAAGCCCTTACAAATATTTTTCACCTGTCCCAGATGGCTGGGAGGCTTAAATATGCAAGTCCAAGACAGGACTTGGACATTAGGTGCCAAAACGACTTGACAATATCTTATCTAACTTCTTTCAAACTGCAGTTGAATTCAGTACACCCATAATACTGATTTTTCATCAGTCCTAAAATATGGACCTTCCCCAGTCAGGGTGAATTTCAGTGAGGGTGAATTTTGCTTGTTTTTTGTTTGGTTGGTTGGTTTTTGTTTGGTTGGTTTTTTGCTGTCCATGATGATGTTATTATTGTAATATTCTGACTTTCTACAGTTACTTGTACCAGTACAATGTTAAAGTAAAAGTACCATTGTTCTGCTTAGACAGTTTTATGCCCCACTTTTCAGTGCATAAGAGTATAAAGTTTGTTGTTTTTTGTTTTTTTTTACTTTTCCATTATCAGGCAGTTGAACAGAAAGCATTACTGACTGAGCTTTATATTAATGAGGCTAAATAAAAACACAGATGGTTTCTATTAAATGATGGAACTGCAAGTAATGATGTGCTATCTTAAGCCACTGTCCTGCAAAATCAGGGACTGGGATAAACAAAAATCTGATTATTCAAGCTGAGTAACACAGCCCAAATAAATGTCCTCTCTCTGTCTGAATCCTTGTCTACACTAAAAAAAAAATGAACCATGAAGAATTGTTTTCAAGAATAAGTCCCATTGAAGTAGTATTCGAAACAGAAAGACTGGACTAGACAAAACAGTGATTCAACATAATTTCAGAAAATGCTCTTGATACTAACTTTTTAGGAGAAATGAGGATAACAGATGGAATACAAGGACACAGAAATGTGAAATGAAATTTGTGCTATAGGCCTTACAATGATCCTGAAAGTGATGAAACAAGAGCAAGGGACATTTAACATGTGATTCATTTTGTGTTGTCTTTCCCTAGCCAATCTGATTTTTATTCAGAATGAACCAAGGAACAACCTGAAAATATAGTAGTCTGAGATGTTCTTTCTATCATATCTGAGACTTTTAAACTTTCACATATACAAAATATTGGAAACTTTATTTTACTTCCAAATTACATGTTGTTATTACTGGTATTTACCTAGAATAACATAAAAGAAAAAGACAAGTACTTCCCTTACATTAAAAATATTCAAGCAAGATTCCATACATACAGCTTTATTCAAACATGTTTTGCTTAACCCTAAGACTTATAAAAATGAAAACATAAATAGAATCTTTTCTCTATTTCTGTCTCTATTTCTCTTATTTAGAGGGTTTGTTTTGTTTTTGTGTGGAGTTCTGGAATTATTTGTCATTGAAGTCATTTGTTCTGCTAGATTTCATCTTTCAGAGTGCTGAAAGTGCTTTGAGAAAAATAAGTACTGTTCTATTTAAACAGAATAGAGCTTATGACAAGACAGTGATGCTTGTCCCAAGATGCCTGAGATCCCAACCTGTTGAGAGACTTGTGAAATTCCAATGGTGTTTTGCTTTGGTTGATGAAGCTCAATCTTTGCACAGTCTAGGACTCTGACAATTTAAACTCCAAGAGGTCAAAGAAATTATGAAACAGAAAAGGCTTAGTAAATGCAAAATAATGCTCTATTCCTTAGAATTCTTCTATATAATTTATTTTTTAGGACTTAATGCTAACTAGTTTTAAAAAGCCCCAGGTGACAGGGCTCTTTCCTTATGCACAGACTAATAGGTCTTCATTGGAACATTTGTCCAGTTACACTAATTGATCTTTTTCTTTTAATTTCATCTAGTTAGCTGTTTTTGTACACCCTGAAGACATAGTAAATAATTTCTTTTCCTGTTTCTCTGTGTACCAGTCAAATAGTAATAAATGGTTGCAGCTTCAATTTAGTCAAATTTACTGACTTATTTTTTAAATTGTCATACTTACACACACAACCACACTCAACATCACATTTCTTTTTATCAACAAGCAAAAGCCTTGGTCAAGATACCACTGGCAAAGGTAGCAGTTGAGGAACTTTTCAGCAGTGTGTCAGGACCACTCCAGTGGAGACCATCAAAGACTGATGGTACTAAACAGACACCTCTATTGTTTTCACTACCAGGATGGAGAAAGCTTCCTACACAAGACTGCAGTTAGATGGAGTTTGTTGTTGTACTCAGTGAGATGGAGGCAACAAACTGCGTCTGCCTGAGCATCAGCTGCTCTAGACAGAAAAGTTCCAGAATTCTTTTTTTTTTTTTTTTTTGGTCATATTATTGAATTTTTTTTTTTAAAGAGAGGTTAGCTGAAAATTTTCTTCTGATTTTTTCTATGCAAATAGTTTAATTTCAGAAGTAGTCACTACCAAAATGGATCCAGATGGTTTAAGTGATAATATCTGGATCCAATGCCTCTCTGCTACCCTGTTACACATTTTTGAAAGCTGTCACTCTTTGATGAGTTGACAGTCATCCTTTTCACTGCAAACCTTTGGACAGTGGATCTCAAAATGTCAGGCCTAATCCATTCCACCTAATAAACAGCTGGTCAAGCAATTCATCTAGAAAGATAGCTTCATCCTATTATCGGTGATTAAGGAGGCATAAATGCTGCTTTGCACTTGTAAAATTAATCATATCCTCATTCTGGCAAATATTCATAGAAGCCTTTTACCATTTACATAGCTTTCAAGCTATCAGGAAGAAGAAAGGAGGAAGAGGAAGTGCTGAGGAGGAAGAAGAAAGGAAGTGGAAGGAAGGGAGGAAAAAGGGAGGAAGGGATAAAATAATAATAATAAAAGAGATAGCTATTGCATCTGAAGTTGGGAATAATTGATACTGTTACAGTAATATAGATATAAAAAAAAAAAATTGATCTCAGTGTAGAAAACCACCTTACTTCAGGAGAAAAGGAATGCTGATAAAACATGGTGCATTAAGTTGTTTTTCACCTGGGAGTTTTTTTAGTTGGAAGAAACTTTAGGTGCTGCTATGAACATCTTTTCACTCATAATGCTTATCTCTTTGAAACAAGGACATGAAATCTAAAGCAAAGAATTTGGGGGGAAGATGGTGAGGAAAATGACAAACACCCACTGACAAATGTGTGGAAAAAATACAATTTCATCTATTGTCTTTGCATTTACAATAGATATTTCTATTCAGATATATATCTGGCTATCACATCATTCTCTAAAGAAATTCTGTGTTTTGTTGCTCTTTAAATCTTCTAAATATGTTTTCCTTCTGGAATACAGTATATTTTACTAAAAAGAACATTGAACTACTCTGTGTAATTTTATAAGAATTTTTCTTGTGTCAGAGAAGGCCACAGAAAGGAACACTCAAGTAGTCCTGGTATCTTCTATAGTGCTAGTGGAATAATTTAGAAAGCAGAATGTTGAGCCAGTTAATTTTAGTAGATATTCTAAAAAATATTCCACCTAACACAACAGTTGAAACAATAGTGACATAATTGACAAAATTACATAATAATTATAGTGCTCTGGAGTAGGCTATATTAAGGTATGACTCATCACTCAAAACAAGAAAGTACAGAACTACGTCAAATACAGCAGTGCAGTGCAATATATTGTAGCTTCAGCCAAAAATGAAAACTAAGATCAGCAATCTTTTGTTAATAAGTGGAGGAAAAAAAGAACTGAAAATTTGCCTAAGAATATTACCTTACTTTAATGAATTGAGTTTAAAAATTGACAAAAAGGGAATAATTGTACAATCTTAGACAAAACTGTATTGAAATTTTCTTCCTTGAATTAGCCTTACTAGTTATGCAAAAGATATATATACCTTATACCATTTTCCTATCTATGAATACTTTCTTTGATATTAAATATAGTCCTCATTAATATTAATTACAATGGCACAATTATACATCATTAACAAAGTTACTACACTAAGATTTTTCTATTAAAAAGTATGATGTTTTGTACTCACCAGGTGTAAAATTATATCGAGCAGAAAACCCCATAGATTCCAGCTCACCATCAGCAAAAAATTTAATCCACAGAAATCTGCCACTGGATTTTATCATAGGTGGATTTTGCTGTCCACAGAAACGTCCAATGATTGGGGAAAAGCCAAAAGGTCCATCTCGTACTTCAATGTGGTCAAATTTACACTCCCAAGAAGGTTCTATGGAATATTTTTCATCAAAGTGTAGTTCAATGCATTGTCTAGGGGCAGCTAGAAATTAAAAGAAAATGAAATAATTTACTGAACCAAAATCCTTAAAATCTGAAACAAAATTAAGAGTATCAAATATATATTTTTATGAATCTTAACATATGCATCAACTTTTTCCTTAAAAAAATATATTCTGTTTTTGAAAATTAGTACAATTTTTTTTTTTTTTTTTTTTTTTTTTTTTTTTTTTTTTTTTTTTTAGATTTTGCATCATATGCTTACTCATCTGTTCTTCTTTTAGAAGTGCTTATGACAGTAGTTTTTAGTGAAACTAAAAGAGATATGTATGATGTAAAACAACATACAGCTTTGGAAGAATTGGTTCAAGCACAAAATCTTTCAAAGGATCTTATGTATGTGGAAAAGCACATACATACATTGTTTTGAGGGGAAAAGTTAATCAGAATACTTTTTAACCTAATGAAATAAAGTCTGGTGGGAACTGTGCTATAGGACTAAGCACTCTGTTCTTATATGTACAGCAGTCAATGACTAGCTTGAGTATAATCATCTCATTTATAACCTAGGAAGAGTGAAGTGAAATTTCATTTAAGAATGAGAATGAAGCAAAATTAACTAAGAGTAAAGAATACTCTTAAAAAAAAAAAACTTCAAGAAACTTATAATAGTCACCTCAGAAAACAACAACAACAACAATAATAATTAATATCATTCATAGCTTAGTATCAGTATTCATAGGCTAGTAGCAGTCACAATGACCTCAAAAACAAGATTTGCCGGTCATTCTGTGTAAAAAGCAAAACTCTTATTGTTTGAACTACAGCATTTTGTTAAAAGGATAAAATCATAGTTTTGTCTAGAAATTTTAAGATGCAGAATCCCTGGGGTATGTACTCCTGCATTGAATCCTGTCCATAGCTAAAAATATAGTATGTGTACAGATCTTGGTGTAATATCCTTTTTTCTTCTAATAATGTTTTCTGCTAAGACAAAGGTTTGTTGTGTCACTGCATCCTCCACCTCTCATGGGATCATGTTCTACACCTTCCAAATATTAGAAGAGACTGAAATTGCTATGAGCTTTGCCCAAGTTATCAGTTTTTTCACATTAAAATATACAAGATCAAACTCCAAGCTTAACATGGCAACTACTGCCACTCTGGCAGCCAAATATCCTTTTATTTCTTACTTCAGGAACAGTGAGAAAATGACCAACATGGCCTGAAAATATAAATTTTTAAATGGTTGAAAATGAATCTTTTGGGATGAGTTCCTTAGCCACATAAGAATTGAGAACAATTAAAATGAACAAAACAAGTGGATACAAGGTAAACCTTATACTCTTACATAAGATCTGATACATCCCTCTTGCAACTATCTTATATAAATTGACAGGCTCATTTTATAAGATTCTGAAGAGTTAACTCTGAAATTAATTACACAGGTTGCTTGAAAAGAAAAAATATTTTTAATAGTTTTACTTCTAATTTTAATATGTTTGTGTGATTTCTATTTATTGAAATATTTAACATAGAAAAAAAACAAACAATCAAACTCCTTACCTACTGTTATAAAATTGAACAAGTTCACAATTAGGAAAGTACTTACTATTGGCCCACTGTTATTTACATGACATTGTAGGTAATTGAGTTATATATATTTCTCTGTAATACTTTCATCCTGTGATCTTTGTGTCCATACAAGTTTAATAGAAAAATAAAAACTTAAAACTTTATATGGAATTATATGAAAGTCAGAATTCACTGGAAATAAAACTATTTTGAAAGTGAAAGAAAAATAAAGTCAGACAATAAAGTTTGTAAAGACAATTTATGCTACCTTGGGTGAGGTTTAAATACAGAAATACATCTTTTAGATTATAGTAATAGTCTGAATAACTGGAAGATATCACTAATTATTTTTTTCAGATGTTTCTACTCTTGGTGTCATATATTTACAATAAATATTATTTTAAACTTAACTAAAAAATACTAGGGGAGAAGAAAGCAATCATCACCTTTCAGTCTGTGATCACATTTTTTATGCCCCTATTCATGTAAAGAGATTTGTTGAGAGCTATTCATCATTCATCTAGGGACTGTAGAATTAAGTATCAGAAACTCCAACAGAGTAACACTTTGGGTAAACTTGAGAATTCTTATTAAGACTTGTAAGATTTATATAATCACTATACAAAATACAATGTTACTATCCTACATAAAGATTTATTTAAATTTGTTAATGTTGCAAACTAGATATGAATATTAATTCCACTAGTGTTGTTAGTGTCAAACAGCATCTTAACACAGCATATAACTCCTCTGCTTTCCATGGCAACAAGAAGATACCTGCTTCGAAAATGACCTTTCCCATTGTTCTTGTGTATATGCCATTAACATAACACATTTGTCCTCATTAAACTATCAGTGTTAGGTCTCACTATTCCATTTTATACTAAGGCTTACCAGGGCAAGCCTAGCTAAAGCAAGCAAGTTAAATATTTAGCAAGCCTTGCTTGAACCCAAAACTCAACATATGGTAAGAATGGGCGTAAGGCCCCCTCTGAGTTATACATATCATACAGATTTTGTTGTTGTTGTTGTTGAAAAGGACACTTAAAGTCCATTATAATCTCACTATAATATAAAAGAAGTTCTTGTAAAAGGACTTGTAAATAGGTAAATGAAACTCAGTTGTACAAACTTAAGCATAAAATCAACTGACTCAGTAGAAGTATGGCCTGGTAAAGACTACACAATTTTTGTAGTATCCATACAGAACTCTGAATCTCACATTGCAAACTAGTTTTAGGATCAACTTGTTGCCATAGCATACTCTCTTCTATTTTTATTTATTTTTCAACGAAGTCAAGATAAGGCTTATTCTAGTCAAGCTCAGTTCTTGTTAAAGGATCACAGAAAATCACATCTGTTCAAGGAAAATTTGAGGAAGTTTTTACTTTTCGCCAGGTCTCCCATGGATTCAGGCTGCAACACTGGAACAATGGAGTATTGATAGTTCATCAGCACTGCTTCTCCACTGCTAAATAAAAAGGCTGGGGGCTGAGCCACTGACTGTCCTTATTCCTTCAACCATTAAAAACACCTCCTGGCATGATTTTGTCCCATGCCAGTCAGAACTGCCAAAAACTGTCTTAGGCATGATGTAGTGGTACTCATTGGTCAAGGACTATTCACAACTAGTTTGGATATGTAGTATTCACTAGGAAGGTGAAAGGATGTTGGATTGTGCCAATCAGTCTTAGGCCTGACTTAAGTTTTATTATTAGCACAGGTACAGCCCATGTCCCAGCCTGCTCTGCACACTAGCCCAAATGGTTCTAGGTTCTTTCTCGTAACTCATCTGGGGAATGTAATATTTTGTGTTTCTGTATCTTCAGTGACTGTGGTCATTACAGAGTATTGGGCAAAGATATGATGGAATACTGTGCAAGCATCCATGCTACCTTTCCACTATGTGCTTTCAAATACACTTCCATGCTTCATCTTAGAGTAAAAAATTAAATGTTTTGGTTGCAATAATCTACCTAAGTGATTCAGATCCTCCTGAAAATGACAGTAAGGGAAGAAAACATGATTAAGATTCCAACTTTAGCTGCCATTTAGCCAAAAAGGTGTCTTTTTAGAGTTATACTCTGACTTTTACAAAGGGTTTCTTTGCTATAAGTGAGTTGAAGCAAGCAGGCATTGTATGAACCCATCTCATGCCACCGTTTTGCCTTCCACAACAAAGTGTGTACAATTTTAAAACTTACGGAAATAAAGCAATAAAAAGTACAGAATGATGACTAAGAATAATGTATAACTACAAAAAATAAAATAAAATAAAATAAAATAAAATAAAATAAAATAAAATAAAATATAAAATAAAATAAAATAATAAAAGAGTAAACAACCAGCAGCCATCACAACAGTAAAAAGAGAATATATATCTCTTCCACACTGGAGCAGTATCTGGACATCTAATCAGAAAAGAAGGGATAAAGTGGTAACTTCTGACATCCTCATTAACAGGTAAATCATATTCACATCTTCAAAAATTTTTTGGTGGTTACAATGTCAGAAAAAAAGATGTTATAAAGTCCAAATTAAATATGTTGAAGCTATCTCATAAAGTGATTGTACTTCAAATATTAAAATTTTCCATATTTAGCTTCTAATTATCTTTCTTCAAAGATGCTTAATACCATGGAAAGACTTCTTAATGCTTACATGTCTTGTCATCTTCTTCATCTAATTATCTTACACAAGTGCTATCTTGAGATTTTATATTCAATGAAAATAAAAGACATTAGGTTCCAACTTGCAGAAGAACATTTTCAGCAACAAACATGCAATTAAGGTTTTAGTTCTGATCAGCCTCTAGGTCTGCATAACTGACAGCTGAAGTTAAGCAAAAATATCTGTTTCAATTTATGCAACTGCATGGAAATGAGACACTGAACTCAACCCCTGCCCACATCTATCTGGGCTGTACAGAACTGATAGTCCTTGATATTTCTGGTTGTTTGGCTATTATTGGCAAGTAAATCACTTATAACCTCCTTTTAAAAGAAGATTCTTTCCTCATTTTAATGAACACTATTTGGACACAAAAATCACCATGAAATACCAGAGGACTTTGACATGAGATTTTTCATACAGTGAAATGTCTAGAAATAAGGTGTTTAATGATCTTAAGTCAAAAATATGGAAGACCTTCAAGAGAGCTAACTTTAAAAATCCAAAAGTATATACAGTGAACGATTTACTTTATATCTCCATAAATCAATTCAAGTCTATACCTATAAATAAGCTCTTAGCTATTAAAATAAATAAATAAATAATAAAAACATATAAGATTCCGGATTTTCAAACCAGTTCTTAAAATATATTGTGTAAACTACGTCTATCCCACTCCCCACATATTTTTACCACCAACAAAAACTGTTCCTACAGAAACTCCTGTGCATATATCTCTTTGAAGCACACATGCCAAATTTTCTGCAGTCTGGCAAAGGCTGCTGCTGCTGCTGCTGCAGTTGTTCTGAGCAGCTGTGAATTTTGCCAGGTAAGAGTCATGAATATGCAAAACAAGGGTAAAATTGGGGCCAACAGGGAACATAATGTGTACACTCAGCTATTTCCTACATTCTCTATATGCCCAATAAGACTGAACCAAAATAAATAAATAAATAAATAGATAAATAAATAAATGAATGAATAAATAAATAAATAAATAAATAATGCATTTTGAAAGGCAGATGGGACTCACCAGAAGTTCCTCTATAGCATAATAATTTTTGTACTGAGTCCATGACTTCTGGATGACCTAAAGGACTTATTTTAGAAAGGCATCCAACCTGGACTTCAAAATTCCTAGCTGTTCCAACAGCTAATTGTCATTACTACCAAAATAGAAGAAAAAAAAAAGGGGGGGGGGGGGGGGGGGGGAGAAAAAGAAAAAGAAAGTTCTAGCTGTTTGATCTTCTTATGCTGATCTTCTTTGACTGCTAGTATAGGCTCCACTGCAATCAAAAATGCTTTTCCATTTTAGAAACTCACAGTGTATGATCATGGCAATTTTTGCCAGCTCTTTTACTTTACCAAAGTAATTTTGAAATGATAAAAGGTTTGCATACATTTAAGATGAGCTAAAATACAGGGGAAAAAAATGTATCTTGAGATTAAATTCAATTTTATTACAACAGACTACATGCTGCAGTCCTCACTCAAGTCCTTTATAGTCAGTAGGAATGGTGTTTGAGAGAAGCCACCAGAATTTGCTGTAGATTGTGTATGATAGCAAAAAATAAAATGAAGGAAAGAAAGCAAGCAGACAGGAAAGAACCTGTTGATCCATATATGTATTTAAATTCAGGTCACACAGCTGTCAGAACCTGCCACACTGAGTTATCTAAGACATACAAAGAGGAGATAGGAATGTGGGGATGTTATGCTGGATCACATTAACAGTCCCCCTAGTATGCTACTAGATATTCAACAGCAGAGAGAAGCTATTCCAAGTTTTTTGAAATATTAATATTAATTACAGGAATCATAGGTATATAGAGATGTTTCTGGTTTATGCTCAGGTTTAACAGATGTTTAGGTTCTGGATTAGCAAAGATTATCCACTCCATATAGGAAAAGTTTTTCATTTCGTTATATTTTTCAGTCATATCTATATGTTGTAAAAAGAATGAATTTGAACAAATAAGTTATTCTAACTACTATATATTTATATTGTGTATATATATGTATATATCTTTGCCCTTTGGTGTGTCTCTTTTTGCCTTTTTCCAAAACAGTCACTTTTTAAAGTATGGTTACTAAGACATTTCTATTTATTTTGGTGACTTTTTTCGGACATATCTATTCCTGATATTTTTAGAAGACAGAAACAGGTAGAGCTGAATAAGTTGTGCAGTATACATGGTTTTCACCAAATTACATATTGATGCAGCTGATATTATCACAGATTTTAAGCTATGCAGTTAGAATCCAAACTTTAGCACACGGTTGGACACACAGTAGTAGAAAGCAAGTGTGTTGTAAGAAATTATGTGTTGTTTTCTTTTTTGTTGTTGTTTTTGTTTATATATATATATATAATATATATATATTATATATTATATATATATATATATATATATATATATATATATATATATATATATAATATATATTATATATATTATATATATATATATATAATTTTGTTTATATATGTATATAATAAGAGGTCTATTGAATTCAGGCTATTTCTTGTACTGCTCATTACTCCAGACTTGTCAACATGGAATTTCATCTTCATCATAGATGTTTGATTAAATATTTCCTTTAATTGTTCTTAGACATTTCTAATTTATTTTAAAACAGTCTATTTCAATAGTGTATTAAGCCACCTTTCAGCTTATTACCTATATTTTCATAAGCAAATAATTAATATGATAAAGACATGTCTTTACTATAAAGAACATTCAAACACCTTCTTACTAATGAGAGGAACAACTCATGGTTTAAGATACTGGATTAGGGTTTACAAAAGTGGTCATATTTTGTTTCCATAGCTCTTCTCTTTGATTATAAATATCTCCATGCCTCAGTTTTCTGAAGATGAGATAGGCTTACTTTCTCCCAGCCTCATGGGCTGGGAAAATAATTTGACTACTATATACAAAAGACATGGATTTAGCTTTTTTTTGCTGTTGTTGTTGTTTGTTTGTTTGTTTTTCCTCATTCCTTTTATTCATTTCTAAATATTCTGTCTTCTGCCATGTTACAGCATTTTAGATTCTATACATTCTCTGAAAATACTGAAATAATTATACTGTTTATCACTAAGGAACTCCTGCATACTTACATGAGATAATTTATTAGTAGTATCAGAAAACAAATCTAGTATTTGCAAGTATTTCTTGGTATGTAATGCAACTTATTTAAAGGAAAGGGAAAGGCAAGGCAGGGCAAGGCACAGCAAGGCAAGGCAAGGCAAGGCAAGGCAAGGCAAGGTAAGGCAAGGCAAGGAAAGGTTTTTATAAAACTTGCTTCTTGAAAAGATTGATCATGATCTTACAGGCTTTACCTACTGTTTACATATAGCAAAGTAAAATACATTTTTGAATCAGTTGAAGATAGAATACAAAGATTATTTTGTTGGTCACCTTCAATAATGTAGACACACTCTCTGTCAGGAGGATATTTGTTGGGATAATTGGGAGAAGTGAAGATGCCTCCTTCTGCATATTTTGTCCAAGTTCCGCACTGCACTGGTTTCTGTCCTTCGGCAGTAGTCTGCTTTTCTGTGAAATGATCACATTAAATATTATACAGTTAACTCAACTATTGTTATGTCCCTATGAAGCTTTGAACTCTCTTAGAGAATAAAAGAGTTTCTTCTCTTGGTGGTCTCTTCTCAGCTTTTTTCTTTTTCGACTGTGTATGATCATTGATCTGGAGGGGAATGAGTCAGTGCTTTAAGGATATGAACGTATAATTCTCATTGAAAACATAGCTTTTTTTTAAACAAAGAAGAGGCTTGGATGTCTAGGGGAAGTCATACTTATATTGCTTTTTAAATAACAACCTTGTAAGAAAAACATGTGCTCAAGAATGGGAAACATGAGTTTCCCACTCACATATCTCAAAAGACTCAAACATGTGCCTTGTCAGCAAGATACAAGCTGTTAACACCAAAATACGTCAGTCACAAAATCAAGAAAAAAATAAATAAATCACATCATACTGATAGAATGTAAGAACTGTTTTTATTTTACTGTGGCTTGACTCTAGATTCACCTGACAGAGATGGATGGAGGAAATCCTGGATTCTGATTCAAAAATATTCCTTATTTTTATTTTGCTGTTTGCTGTAGAATTAATAATTAGCTCTGGGGTCACAAATCACAACCCAGAACTTTCCTCTTCCTAGGTGAGTCATCAGAAAAGAGAATCAGTCCTTCTCATTTGCTTTCTTCCTAGCCCTGAAACTCTTGCATTCCTTTCAGCACACCCTCTGAGAGACTGGACATAAAGCTTTGAATCTTTTCAGGTTGAAGGAGATGAAGAATCGCTTCTGGATAGTAGATTCTAGGAAGGGTAGAAATTTCTAGACCTTACCCAGGCCTCCTGGGCAAGGCCTCCTAAGTGTTGCTCCAAATCAGGTGCCTCTATCTAACTGTTCTAGCTAACTTTAGCCTCTCGTGTTCAGAGATGAGTTGTTTGCTCTTATGATCAATGCAAATGGATACAGGATAATTCTTCCTGTCCTGAAACTTCTAAGGATGATTTTAACCACAAGAGATTTGCCTTGTACTCTGCATGCATTTCTCTTTCTTCATGGTCTGTATCCAAACTAAGGATGGTGTGGATCTTAATTTCCTAAAATGAATTCAAGCCTTCAGGGACTAAGCATGCAGACACAAATTCAGACACACACTGTGCTTATCATCTCTCCCTGCATGGCTGTCACCACACTTAACATCCAGGGTTTTCAAGAACCTTTTTCTATACTCAAAACTGCACAAGGAGCCAGGATACCTAATTTCAGATTTTGAATTCTACTTCAACAATCAAAAAGACTTTAAGATTAGACAGCTCAGTACCCAATCTGAACATGTCAATCTGGAAGGATGGGGGGGGGGGGGAGGAGAGAGAACTTTACAGCCTTTGCAAGAGTCAGGCTAAGCCTTTAATTAGATATAGCCATGGATCAGGTCACTAACTCACTTCGGGCTTTAATATGATGTCTGAAAAAATGTCTGAAATTTACATACCTGTTCCTTTTTTGGTTGCCCCAGACAAATGTAGGATGATTAGACTTGCTACAACTGAAAGAGAAATATACATTAGATGATATAACAGTGTGATATGGCCAGCAAACAAATCAACTGTAAACACCTATCTGAAAAGGATATAAATTAAATTACTGTACAAAACCAATGTTTCATTTACTTGGATTTTTTTTTATCATTTTTTTTTGATCTGCCTATGTATTTATCTCTGTGAATGTATCCAAATTAAGAGAAGTTTTTGGCTTAAAACAAAATTTTCAAGCATTGATGTTTCCCTCTTTAAAAAAAAAAATAATATTAGAAGAAAACATTTTACCAATATTTATATTTATATAATCATCAGTTGGTTCAGTAATAATAAAAAAAAAGGCTGTATTTATAGACAGAGACCTACTCAGGTTCAGTGTCACTGGTCTCACTTAGGCCCCTTGCCATGGCATAATAATATTTGAAAATAAGTACTTTCATAAGCTATGAAAAAAGTGAGGGGTTGTCTTTTTCCATTGAGGCATATGCAAACCTTTGGTGAAATAAATTATTGTGTGTGCTTAACAGTCTCATTACTCTAGTTTGTTTGACTAGACAAGGGTATGTTGCTTTATGCTGCAGTGAATTTGCAGTCTATTTTTCAAACAAAAATCTCCTATTTCCAACCATACCAAGACAGCTGGGGCTTGGGAGCAAATGTGGATTTTAACTGCAGATAATTCTTGAGTTTCTGGGTGTTAAGGCTAAGAGGGAAAAGTTCAGATCAATAGCAATGAGGCTGGTTTGGAAGACCAAAGTGACTGGATAGCTACCTGATGAAGCAGACATGCACTGGTGGTAATCATATCTTTCTCCCATCTCCTATGTCCAATAGCCAGTTTGGCTATTGGAGAAAGTGGGATAGCAAGAGCATGAAAGAACAGGTACATGAGTTCCTGGAATGCTCAGAATTTTGACCCCAGATAGTTTGGCATAAAGCCCAGACATAGCACTCAGACTGCACTAAAGTTAGAGTGGAGATGAAGTTCCTTATTTATCCTGAGTATTTTGAATTGATCTGCTGCCATTTGTATTGTTGACTATGACAAGGAATTGATGGACCTGTAATCTTTAATAAATGTAATTGAAAGACATATTTTCTTCTTCTTATCTCCAAAATCAAATCAAATGCCAAAAATCATCAAGAGCTAGTAAGAAGGTAACCAAATGGTCCTTTTGAAGATGGTGCTTGCATACTTTCCAGCTTTTTTTACTGCAATTGTGTGCAATTTTTACCTTGAAGGAAGCAAGTCTCTTTGTATTTCCCATATTCTGATAACATGGAGATCTCTATTTCTACGCCTCTTCCTGTATGACAGAGGGCTTTAGCTCTACATGATGGCTAACTTATTAAAGAGGTAAAGGTCGTAGTGCTGGGAAAATGAAGGCTTGGCAGCATATTCACTATTTCTTGGTCAGGCTCACAGTCCCCGTGTCTTTTTGAATCCCCCAGCTAACAGAGACGGATATTGGCAGAGCTGGTGGCTAAAAACTCTTCTGTGTCATGGGCATTCAGTGAGAACATTACATCTTCTGCTCAGATCTGGATGCTACCCAACCATTCATGCCTTTACTCTCCTCAGGGATAGATTCTGGAAATACATCCTAGCTGGGACTCTGTCCATCAGCTATGTCAGAATCTGAAGGCAATGAAGGACTCACGCATTCACTAAGTTTCTCATTTACTTAGCTGGGTTTCATGCAGTGAACATACTGCATCTATGCCTATAATACTCACTAGTCAAAATCTAATTTCTTAATATTTAAGGTGGTTTGTTGTTGGAATATGTAGCCAGCTGCCAACATTCTTTCTTCTCACAAATTTATAAAAGCTCTAATGGAAGGTACAGAAGCTAAACAAACCCTACATGAGAAATGTTTCTTCTTGGGCAATTAATTCATATATTATTCTAACAGCTTCCTTTCAAGTATTTTTATCTATTAACACTTCCCTGTTTTTCTGCATGTTAAAAATTGAAGTTCAGAGAATTAAAGAGATTCAGTCCAAGTTAACGGGACATTATTACACATATGAGAGCAAAAACACAGGTCTTTTCAATTCCAGCTGTTACCACTAGAAAGAGTGCTTCCAAGTTGCAGAGCCATGTTATTCCAAAGCAGGGAGCTACACTTACACATTAGCAAGCTAGTATTTATTATTAATAAGGAGTCAAAATGGTATTGATAATAGAATGTAAAATGTAATAGATAAGAAGAGACTAAGAGACTCTAAGCTTATTTTCAGCACATATCATATCCAGCATTTGGAGTGAAATACTTCTCCCATATTAAAATAAATAAATAAATAAATAAGAAAAAAAAATCTTCTTGATTTAGTAGCATTAACACCACCATTACAAAAATATGTATGATGCCAGAAAGTAATTAAAATTATGAGCTTTATGGGAAAAGATAACAAAATATTTTTCACTCAAGCAGTCAAGATAGTCCATTTTATTCTATAACCCCTTGAATTTTTCTTTCCCAAACAATGGGAAAAGAACAGTGTTTCTCACAGACGTATAAAATAAAAAATAAAGAAGAAGAAGAAGGTGATGATGATGACTCCAAAGAGATTAGTCACAGTCTTTTTTTCATTCAAAGCTGTCACTTGGGAACCTTTGACAGTACTGTAACAATATTGGCATTATCCGGGTTTGGGAATTATTTCAAAGAAGTTTCCACTACATTTTTGTTGCATTCTCTGTCTTCCTCATCCACTTTTCTCTCCTAATCAAGAGTGTAATTATAATCACGCTTTCTATTTCCACTGATTACGCATCTTTGCATCTTCATGGATCCATGCATTTTTTTTTCATCACAAGTTGTATATTAAGAGATTTATCACTCTTCCAGGCAGCTTTTCAGAGGATATGATTTGGCATGGACACGGTTTAGCCTAGCAAAGAGTTTTGGGAAAAGCAATACCTGCCCATAGCACTGCTGTTTTACAGGTATGGGCGTAGGGTGATGAGCTGAAATAAAGGGGCCAGACAAGCCCCTTCAGCAGAGGGGACCCTCTGCAAAACTGTGGCAGGGGAGAGGGTCCTATCCACGCAGCCCGAGGTTTCCGACGAATAATTAACGCATTTGGCGGCCTCCGTGCCGCTCCGAGAGGATTTATCCCGAGGGGGCCGCCAGCCTGGGACCCCGGCCCGCCCTGGCTTTCCCCGGCGCGGCGCTCAGTGCTGCCCCGTGGATGAGGGTTCGAGTCCCGGCCAGGGCATCACAGGAGCGCAACCGGCACGAGGGTCGCCTCTCTCCATTTACCCCCACCATGCCAAAAAAGACCAGACGCGTCGCGCCTGGGTGACAGCCACCAGCCCACACGAGCGTGACCGTGGGGCTGACAGATACCTACCTCCCTCTGCTGTACCGCAGAGTGATGGGGAAGGAGGTGGTGCGGTTGTTTTTTTGTTTTTTTTTTTTTGGGGGGGGGGGGTTAGGGGAAGATTGCCCCCAGGGCGCGGAGTCTGGGCGTCCCGTTAGGCGAGTTGGGGAGGCAGCGGAGGGTACGAGCCCGTGAGCGGCGGCTGAGCTCAGGAGGGGAGGGGGCAGGCAGGAAGAGGGACATACTCACTGTGAAAGAAGCTGCGCCCATGGGTCATGTCTGTGCCTTACACAAGGGGCTTCGGTCTCCACTAATTCCATTTAGATACGGGAGGACTTCCAGTGACGGGGAGAGGATGGAAGTAGGAAAAGAAGAAGAAAAAAATCCTGAAGCCCACACACACAGCAGAGCAGAGCAGCCCTTCCTCTCGCTCTCTCTCCCTCGCCGCCCTCCACTAATCACCGCCGGCTCGCTCCCATCGCACCCGAGCTACCGGCAGCACCACCAGAAGCGTTGCATCGCGGCGGCGGGCAAGGCGGCGGCGGCGGCGGCGACCCGCGCATCCAGGTGCCGGCGGGCGGCGGCGGGGCGAGCCGAGCCCCTAGTCACCAGTTTCATACAAAACCAAAAGCAGATCGAAGCATTTCCTGCAGGACTCCGAGCCCAGCGACTTCCAGCCCTTCGGCTTCTTTTGATGCATTGAAGAAGGGATTAATGGGTCCGTCATCAGCTCCCTGTGCTTGCTCCTCTGAAGGGGTGGGGGTGGGCGGGAGGGAACCCAAAGAGGAGGGGTGGGGGGAAGAAAGATTTACCAAATAGGGGATTTAGTCATATTTGTGTGCAATGCGATTCTTATTAGAGAAGAAATCCTTTAAAATCGAACAAATCCATTTTGCAAAGCCCTCTCCCTATGCGTTGCATAGTATCAAGTGGTTGCAGTGTCAAGAGGATGAAAACACATTGCAGCGTCTCAAATCCTTTCTGGTAGGGATGGACTGAGATAGAGATGGATGAGGATAGAGAGATGTCCCCTCACTTCTCCAGTCCAGGGCGAGAAGCAGAAGAAAACCCTGGAGACTCTTCCATTTACTCAGTGCAGAGAAGGGGAGGGGAGGGGAAGGACGTGAGGGTGGCGGTGGTGGGGAAAGAATGATTTCAAAACTGGGAGAGGAAGAGTGACAGGAGAGGGATCGTTTCCTCTCACCTGGTCACTTTATGGATCAGACAAACCGCTCCTGAGTTCCTCCTTGAACTGCACCCTCCACAGGGAGCCTGAAAGGATTTTCCCCTCTGAGAAAAGACTTCTCCATTTGCACACACACGCACGCACAGACACAAGCACAAAAGGGAGCAATAAAAGTTTAGCTGTTAATCCTCCGGCCGCAGATACAATGATTGCCTCTTCCAATCAGCCCAGAGACGGCAGAAAAATCTCTCCTTTTCTCTCCCCTCCTTCCCTTCCTCAGGCTTATCTTCCTCCCCAGCTACATCTCACCCCAGACACCTATCCCTTTGAGGTTGCAGAGGGCTAATGGCTAGCATGGGAGCACAGTAGGGAAAACATGTTCATTATAAGAGTAGTGAGAGGAACTGAAAGGATTTCAAAGGGATATAGAGAGAGAGGAGAAGGAGGAATGGAGGGACAGCAAGGGCAGCATCCCCTCCCGGACGAGGCAGCCAGGATGCACCCCTGGCTGGGCAACGGGATGAAGGGGGCGGCGGGGGGGGAGTGCTGTGGGGGGGAGGGCGGCGGGGAGGGTCAAGGATTTATGCCACCGAAGTGCGAGGGGATAGGATGTAGGATGGGAGCCCCTCGCCTGTCCACAACACTGCTGCGGGCGGGGGGCGACCTCCCCGGCCCCCACAGGCCGCGGCCAGCAAGGACTCCCCGCTCCTCTTCGGCCGCACCTGCAACGAGAAAAGTCTGGGAGCGCACCCCTTCCGGGGGGCCTCGGAGGGGACGAAGCTTTAAAAGGAGCAGGAATAAAATAGACCCGGGATCCGGCTGTGCACGGATGAGGAAAGGCAAAGGGGAGGCGAGTGCGGGTCAAGAGGCGCAGGGCGCGTTTGCAGGCGATCCCCGCGGCTGGACAGGAAGGGGCGGTGGGGAGGGACAGAGAGAGAGCAGTGGGGAGACCTGTTGTTCTTAGGGCAGCTTTTTAACCAGCTCTTTATTATTATTATTATTATTATTATTATTATTATTATTATTATTATTATTATTATTATTATTATTATTATGAAGAAGAATTTGCTCCCTTAGGGACAGGGCTAAACTGCAAATCCGAGAGGTGAACGATGAGAAAGCCTAAGGATGACATTTTTTTGTTGCTTGTTTGTTTTCAGCAAATCTCTGTGCTCTAAGAAAGAGCATCATTTTTTATTTTCAGCCTGTGGATTCCCTGCTCTGTATTCTGAAATCAAGAATATATCTGCCATCGATTCTTACGAATGCAGCCAGTCAGCAATAGCAGCATGTGCTTTTTTAGTCTGAGGTGATCTTGGCTGGCACAATCCACCCAGCCAGCCATCACCTGAGCCAGCCAGGGTGATGCTCTGAGCATTTAAAAGCCCTGTTGGGTGAGAAGGCCACAAGATTCAGCTACGGGGCTCTGCAATACTCTCCCTATCATAAAGAATCTAGAAAAATAGGAGTCCATTAGAACATTCACCTATGTTTTGTGTAATCTTTCTCACCATTAGCAACATTGTCTACAACTGTTAATCTTAATAAACTATCTACTCTGCTTTCTAGCCATCTCAGCTCTTTCTCCGACCTTCTCTATTCTCTCCCACCTCAAGTTAAAGTATTTTATTTGTGCGGTAATTGAAAGTCATCTGATTTATCCATAAGATAAACTTCTAAACTACAGATGTGTAGAGGCTGCCTTAGCCAAGCAACAGTAGGCTAACTGAAGCAAGATAGTGTTGGAAACAGCCAGAGTGTTTATAGACAGTCAGATATTTCTTCTGCAGGATGATGCAGCCATCCATATGGCTAAGTTTCAAGTTATAGTTACTTTAAAAAAAGGTAATAGAACAAGTAGGCACAAAACAGCTGATTTTGCTCTCCTGGGAAAATGTGCTGCATCATATCATATAAGAGTGAGCTTCAACATTTCCCCTTTTCCGAGTTAGTGGGTTTTCTTTAAAGGTCTTAGATTTCTTTTGATTGGCACTCTTCATTTGAAGGACACCACTGCAATAATATTGACAAATAGCATGTACTACATAGCAGATATGTTTAAATTATGCCAAAATGTAATTGGTAATTGTTGCTGCGGAGTAAGACATCCACAAAATAGCTGAGGAATGGCCACAGTGACCATTGTCTGTTCTGCTAATGAGACCTTAAGGGGATATGTTAGGATTTGCATAGCTGGATGCCAAAAACCTTGTTCAAATGTGTTTGTAAGCAAGAACACAGGGGCTGCAAGTTACAGACCAGTCAAAACCACTTTCTACCTAAATAGATCTCCTCCTGTAGAGAGTCTGAAATGTTGAACTTCATACAGTCTTCACCACTACCCTTTTTGGCTTTATGTTCTATTTTGTTACAGAATCTGTTTGGTATGTTTTCCAAAATAAGGGTTTTGGTAAATACTCTTTCTGAAAAGGTACCAGCTCACCAGCCAGTGTACACCTTTTATTACACTGGTTTTACATTGGTAAATATTTTATAAGTAGTGAGTATTTTTTTTACATCTTTAATGAGCCAATATCATACCCTCACATTTTTGCTAAGTAGTAAACTAAAAGGGGAGAAAAGGATTCACATTTAATAGAGCATGAAATGCTTAAAGACTTTTTTTTTTTTTAATAGGAAAGATTATTGATGATAAACAATTTTCTCAAATGACATCTAAGTATTGTTTGGAATCTTTTGGTTTTCCTTGCTAAAATTCCCATTATTATTACTTTTTGATGCTTTTAAGGTTGCTGTGTTTGCTTTATTTGTTTTGTTTGTTTGTTTGTTTTAGGTTTGAAGCTAAATTTTGCATTTTCGTTAGAGTACGAAATGTGTTCTTTGATTCAGTACATATAGCACAACGTTATTCTTTGCAGTTTTAACCATCAGTTACATAGCAATCTCTCTGTATTCTGCCAGCCCTCTTTCACTTTCACAGCTGAGTTTTTCTACTGATTTTTATGAGAATTTGCTTGGATCCAGAAGATTTTATTCAGTAGGACATGGAGCACTTCCTTCCTGTAGTCAGTCCTTAGGCACTGATCATCCTGAGGATGGTTAGTGTGGTAGAAAAGAGAACAACCATTTGAAGATAGAAGCAGTATGGAGGACCTTTTTGGCTGAGAACTACAAAATGGAAAAAAAAAAAAAAAAAAAAAAAGACAAAAAAGTATGAAAATATTTCTGACAGTTCTGTCAGAAACAGTAGTGTACAATCTCTCATTTGGAGCTAAGTGAGGGTCTGGACACTTTAGCAGACAGAAGAAAAGCTTTTGCCTCTGGAACTCTGTTTTAGTGGTGTCTTGCTTTCTCTCTTCTGTATTTAGTCTCCATGTTTATACAATAAATAGAAGAAGAAAGCACTGGGGGAAGAAGAAGCATAAGGAAAGAGATTAAAAGTACTTTCTCCTTTTTATGATAAGGGAGAAAAATTAGAGATGAGAATTGAAGTATCTTGCTTTCATTTGTAACAAGTAATAGAATTAGACGAAATATAAGAATTATTTTCTCCTTGAACCAAATGGTATCTTTTGGACAATTACTCGGTCTCAGTTAATAATTTTGTAACATGAAGGTATCCTAGGTAGGATATTATCCCAGTAGCTTTTTCTGTTAAAATATTTTTTTATTAAGACAGAACTAAACCAGCATTTATACTTTTTCTTGGTCATTTCAGCTTGTTTCATCCTAGTCATATTCTGCCATTGAATACTGTTCTATGTCACTTAATAACTACATGAATTAATTCTTCTTGGTGTAGATAAAAGACTGAAAAGATTCAAAGTAGCCATGAGTTACTCCCACACTCAGAAAGAACACCTTGAACTGCAATAAACAGATAAGTTCTGAAATGGAGGAGACTTTGGCTTACTGCTTTATGAATAGCAATCTACCCTGCTGAGGATGGGAAAGAAGAAATAAGAGAATGATATTTCACTTCTCTACATTTAAAAAAAATAAATGGTGTGAATTCTATGCTGACGTATGTAATCACAGATGTACTTTTTGTCACGATCTTGTTGTGAATGGTTGTTGTTGCTAGAACGTAGCAAATCCAAATGAGATGCTCATAATAATACAGCTATACACGGTGTGACATTTGGAAATGCTAAAATGAATCACCAAGCCAATCAGCACATCTACATTCTTGCTTTGGTTAAGATTAGGAGTGTGGTTTTGAAGTTATTTTCCCAATTGCCCCCACTTACTGCATTTTGGATTGCAAATTGGAGCAGTCTATTTCATTACTTATGGATGAAACTAAACTGAAAGATGAATTCCAAGATCAGAATCTGTTTTCCAGATCCTAAAGGGCATGCAGTCCACAGGAACCGAGTTATGTTAGTGCATAATAAATTCCCCCAAAACAGATACAGACAAGGTGTGGAGACAGACCATTTCACCTTAAGATAAGCTCTCTTTTCACTGACTTATTCATAAGTGTGGACTTGCCCACTATTTCTTTCAGCTGGGATCAAAGCTAAAACAATGGAAACCACAATATACTCTTTTCTTTTTGTGATGAAACACATACCGAGAGGCAGAATTTATATATCAGATGGGTCGCTGTTTGATATTAGGATA